GAACTGCTGACCTTGAGGTTAGCAGCCCAACGCATAACAACTAAGCTACCAGAGCTCCTTTGTACAATAGAGTAAGGAATACTTAATCTCCTACATTTGTCCCTTTATGGGATTTCCTGGTGGTAAACCTTCTAAGCCTAGTTGTCTGAACCATATATAGAACTCATGTGACCACAACTAGAGAACATGTTCTTAAATTTCTTCTAGGAACCTGATTGACAGTCTACCTCCTCTGGTGTGACCATGCCAACCTCAGCATCTTTGAGAGAGCAGAAAGCGGCCGATCTCTTCTTCTGTGAGAGTAACACAAGAAAAGGCTATATGAAAAGGTTGCAATTACTGGTCAACATTGCTTTGAATCAAAAGAAGTTGGAGTGAGGTGAAAGGGAGAAAAGAAAAATCCATGCTGGAAGGAGGTTACCAAAGGCAGATGATGTGCTTTGGTTGCTGGGCACAGGAACCCAGAGGAGAATTCAGGACTACAGAGTACTATTCCATCATGGAGTCACATAACTGCTAGAAAGTTAATTTGAACATGTGGTGAACTCAGGTCAGCTTCCCAGGCTCTCAGTTCTACTTCTACTTCCCATAAGACCATTAACCTCTCACAATAGGTGGGCTATACTTTAGATATTCAAATGTTTGTCACCCAAATCCTTGTTCCTGCCCGCTTTCTGTTCTATTTTTACAATAATCAAAACTCACTGAAATTGAAACCTAAGATTTATTCTGAGCACATATTCTGTATGTATATAGAGAAAACATTCTGATTTCCCCACAAAAGCAAATGGCTCAAAGAAAGGTATTTACAATGAAATGTAAAACAGGGAAGAGGAGGGAGAAGAAAAGAACATCGACCATTGGCTAATCTTAACATGATTGGATGAGCACTGCTTTCCCCCTTTAATGGAAATCAAATCAGGTCACAAGTAGTTTCTGACCCTTCATTCACTTGCAGCCCTAATACTTTTTGAAATTTAAATTAAGTAAGCCTCCTGGCTTCAAACTGGAAAGAAAACATTAGCAACTTTGGATAAAAAAATTTTTTTAAATGTTGGCAGGATTTGGTCAGGAAGTTTTACAGTTGATATTTGATTTTGATGGGTAAGAAAAATCCTAAAATCAAAGTAAGATGTCTGTTATTAATTTTTCTCTTTGATATCTGCTCCTGCTTAATCGTGATTTAAATAGGATCTTTGATCAACTCAGTGTTGGCTAGACACCATCAGCTCTCTTGGAGTCTCATAGCTACTGTCTTATTGGGTACCTTTTGGTGAAAGTTGTGTTATTTCAAATGGTCCTTGAGCTTTCTTTCTTCGTTGTTCCTCCAATTGGATGGAGACTATTTACCGAACCTTATATGGCCACTCACAAGCTTTTAAGACCCCAGATGCCAAGTGTTCCATTCTCTTAGCTGTTTTTTTGGTGACACCTGTTGATTTACCAGTGTTCCTCAGATTGTCAGGAGCTCCCTGAGCCTTTGGTACTCTTCTAAAAAAGTCACTAGCCCCTCTGGTGTATCCCAGTTGAGCTAAGACATTGTCCAAGAATATATTCATTCAGTCAGTCACTCATTTATTCAATCAATATTTATTGAGCACCTATTATGTATCTAAAGCTGTGATACAGTCACTGGGAGGGAATTCAGTAGTGAACCAAGTGGCGTAAAACCAAATACAAATTGATATAAAAGGGTTTAAATTCCTCTGGTGAGACTAGGGAAAGGAATTTACCTCTTCCATTATTGCTTTAGAACTCAATTTTTTTTGGTTGTTGTTAGTGTAGTTAAGTCAGTTCCAACTCATAGTAACTCTGTATAGGGTTTCTGAGGATATAAATCTATTAGGGATCTTTGAAAAGGACAGGCATACCTCACAGATAAGGAGCTCTGGTAGCGTAGTGGTTACGAATCGGGCTGCGAACCTTAAGGTCAGCGGTTCGAAACTACCAGCCGCTCCGCGGGAGAAAGATAAGGCTTTCTACTCCCGTAAAGATTTACACCCTCGGAAACCCTGTACAGGGTCGCTATGGGTCGGACCCGACTCGATGGCACTTAACAACAACAACAACAACCTCACAGATATTGCAGGTTAGGTTCCACACTACTGCAATAAAGCAAATGTCACAATAAAGCATTTTACACGAATTATTTGGTCTCCCAGTACATATAAAAATGATGTTGACACTACACTGTAGGCTATTAAGTGTGTGATAACATTATGAAAAAGTTAGAAGTATCTGGAGAATTACCAAAATGGAAAAAAAAAAGTGGTGCCAACAGACAAGCTGGATGTAAGGTTGCCACAAACCTTCAGTTTGGGGAAAAAAACAAAAAACTGCAAGTGCTGTGAAGTACAATAAAATGAGGTATTGTTGTTAAGTGCCATTGAGTCAACTCTGACCCATAGTGACCCTTTATAGGGTCACCAAGGAACAGCTGGTGAGCTAGAACTGCCAACCTTGCAGTTCAAATGCAGGCTTTGCAGTCTGGCGCATTAACCCACAGCGCCACACCAGGACTCAAAAATGAGGTATACCTCTATGATTTAAAAAAAAAAGAGAGAGAAGGCTGCCACTTCTTTAAAATGTAACTTCAGTAACATAGCTTTTCTAGCCAAACCCTACTTTTTTTTTTGCTAAGTACCATCCTGTCAGTTTTGACCCATAACGACCCTATATAGTTGCTCTGAGGAGTAACTGGTGAGCTTGGACCACCTATCTTGCAGTTAGGCGCTTTAACCCACAGTGCTGTGCTAGGACTCCAAAGCCTGCTAATGCTCACCTCGTTGTTAGGATGTTGGTGGTGGTGGTGGTAAGTGCTGGCTGCTGGCTCTGACTCATAGCAACCTTATGTACAACAGAACAAAATCCTGCCTGGTCCTGCACCATCCTCATGACTGTTTTGCTTGAGTTCACTGCTGCAGGCACTGTGCAAAGCCATCTCATTAGGGGTCTTCCTTTTTTCACTGACCCTCAACTTCACCAAGCATAAAGCCCTTTTCCAGGGACTGGTTCCTCCTGTAAATATGCGCGAAGTATGAGAAACAAAGTCTTGTCATCCTAGCTTCAAAGGAGCATTCTGGCTATGCTTCTTACAACGTAGACTTCTTCTAGCAGGTCCAGGTACTTTCAATATTCTTCTCCAACATAACTCAAATGCATCAATTCTTGTACAGTCTTCCTTACTAGTTGTCCAACTTTCACATGCATATGAGTACTGATTGTAAATCCAAGCAAAATGAAGTCTTTGACAACTTCGATCAATTATCTATTTATCATGATGTTATTTATTGGTCCAGTTGTCAGGATTTTTTTGTTTGTTTCTTTACATTGAAGTGCAACCCATACTGAAGGCTATGGTCTTTGGTCTTCATCAGTAAGTATTTTCAGTCTTCTTTGCTTTCAGTAAGCAAGATTGTATCATCTGCACATCTCAGGTTGTTAATGAGTCTTCCTTCAATTCTCATGTCACTTGCTTCTTCAAATAACCCAGTTTCTTAGATTATTTGTTCAGAGTACAGATTGAATGAGTATGGTGAACGAATGCAGCCCTGGCATACACCTTTCCTGATTTTAAACTATTCAATATCCTTTTGTTCTGTTCAAATGACTGCCTCTTGGTCTATCACAGGTTTCTCGTGAGCACAACCAAGTGTTCTGGAATACCATTCTTTGCAATGTTATCCATAGCTTGTCATGATCCACACAGTCTAAAGCTTTTGCATAGTCCCTAAAGCACAAGTAAACACCTTTCTGGTGTTACCAGCTTTCAGTCAAGATACATCTGACATTAGTAATGGTTTCCCTAGTCTCACATCCTCTTCTGAATCCACCTTGAGTTTCTGGCAGTTCCCTGTCAATGTACTATTGCAGTCATTTTTTAACTATCTTCTAAAGATTGTTATTGCAGGTGATATTAATGATATTGTTCAATGATTTCTACATTCCACTGGCTCACCTCTTTTTGAAATGGGCACAAATATAGATCTTTTCAAATAACTTGAAGATGTCCTCCAAATTTCCTGGCATTAATGAATGAGCGCATCCAATGCTGTATCAGTTTGTTGAAAGATTTCAAATTGTATTCCATCAATCTCTGAAGCCTTGATTTTTATAAATACCTTCAGTGTAGCTTGGACTTCTTCCTTCAGAGGAGTGTCCAGCTCCCACCCTCATCTATCCCAATGCAGATCCTATCTTCAGGAGTTCAGAACCACGTGGTTAGGAGCCAAGCTAGTGTGAGGTCAGGCCAGCTGCTTTGGTGCCCTGCTTTGGAACCTGGCTTCAGGTGGGCTTGGCTCTAGAGCTACAGAAACTGCAGAGTCACCAGACCAGCATTTAACCAGTCACCCTGTCCGAGTTGCCCTGCAGTCCTGACAGACAATAAAACCAGCTCCATCAAGGGCCTCCTTGAACATAAGTAACATCAAGGCCTGTGTTGTTGTTGTTGTTGTTAAGTGCCCTCGAGTAAGTTCTATTCCACAACAAACCTATATAGGGTTTCTGAGGAGCAATTGGTGAGTTTGAACCGCTGAACCTGAGGTTCCAAACTAACTTTATAGTCCAGCACATTAACCCATAGTGCCACACCAGGACCCCATCGAGGCCTATAGGAACTCGATATAGAGCCAGGAACTCGGCTATCATGTCCCTCCCACACCCAGATCATGAGATCCTTGGCTTGCAGGAGCCACACCCCCAGCACCCACCCCCAAGTCGTCTCCTCTCTAGGTTCAAAAGTTACACTATGGGTTTTTTTTTCAATACTTTATTTATTGATTATTCAACTTGCACATTTAACACAATGTATTTCTCATATTGAAACACTTCTAATACTATACCTTAGAATTGACATTTTCTGAAAATTATCACAGTGTATAATATCTAAAGAATACACACAAATGTTGACAATGTATATTCACATATAACTTACTCCTCTCTCATTTACTATTTAAAAAATTGCTGAATCCAGATCTGCTGTAATCATTTTATAGAGCAAACTATATTAATATTTCAATAGTGCATTCCAATCCATTTCTTGTTTTATATTCTAAAACATCTTCATTATATTGTTTGATAAAATAGACCCACAGGAAGACTGAGCTGCCCAAGGTCAGTCTAACTTTCAGCCAATCAAATTTGCTATTTGGTGGCTCCTGAACTCTGACCTCGCTGAAAGGCCACTAGGTCAGCAGGTCAGAGAAGAGGAGCAGAAATGCAGACAGCGCCAGTTTGCTGGCTGGACTCCTGTTTTTGTTTGGGGGTGTTTTTTGTTTTTTTTTTCTTTTTGCTGTTTCATTGTTTTTGTTTATTTATTCTTTCTCCTCTTCCTTCTCCATCTATCACTTGAATTTTATCCTATCTCTGCTGTTGTTTTTCTTTCTTTTCTTCTGTTTCTCATTTCCCCCACTTCTTTTGTTTTCCCCTTTACTATTTTCTACTCCCTTTCTATTTTAATCTTCCCTCTCCCTAGGTTTTCTAAGTGTTTTGTTTCTTCTTCCTTTTTTTTGGTTTTTAAATTTCTTCCTTTAATTTCCTCTCTTGTTTTTCTCTTCCATAGCTCTATTTCTTGTCCCTTTTTTTGCCTGTATCGTTATTATATTTTTGTTCTTTTTGTTGCCTGTTAGCCTTCTCTTTATTATTTTCTCTTTTCATTGTTGGTTTCTTGTGTTTATCCTCTTTTGTTTACTTGTGTGGTAGGGAGGTATTGCTGTTTCCCATCCAACAGGAGACAGCAACCATACCCATACATCCCATCCACATTTACCCTCTGCAGCTCCACCCACTTGGCAAGAACTTGTACCAGCTCCTATATCACCAGATCAGTGAGAGACAGCAGCCAACCCCACCCTAAACTGAAGTGCAGGAACAGCGTACACACTTCCATTCTCTAACTACACCCTCAAAACACAGTTTCAGAGAGCCTAAGAACACATCAACATATAATCATCAATTAAATATAAATACAATAATCCCGAAATGCCCTAGAAACAGACTATTTAAGCTCACGTAAAGAAATAAGAGGGAAAGGATTCAACAAATGACCAAGATGTGGAACCTAAATTGTTTCTGAGGAAGACAAGGAAGGAACAAAGTGAAAGAGAATTCAAAAGAATGATCTTTATGTACCTTCTAAGAATTGATAGAAAGATCAAGGAAAGCAAGGAGAACACAGTAAACATTTTGGAAGAATTCAGGAAAGCACTAAAAGAACAAACAGACAAAATAAATGCACATTTTGAAACAATACAAAACCTGCAATTAGAAATCCAGAAAATTCAGTTAAGATCTCAGAAATGGCCAATACATTGAAAGGGCAAAGGAGTAGATGTGAAGCAATGGAAGCCCGAATTACTGAGCTTGAATATGTTGTTGTTGTTAGGTGCCATTGAGTCAGTGCCGACTCATAGTGACCCTATGCACAACAGAACGAAAAACTGCCCCATCCTGGGCCAACCTCACAATTGTTGCCACGTTTGAGCCCATTGATTCTGCCACTTTGCCAATCCATCTCACTGGGGGTCTTTCTCTTTTTCTCTGGCCCTCCACCTTACCAAACATGATATCCTTCTCTAGCGATTAGTCCCTCCTGACAATATGTCCGAAGTATGAGAGACGAAGTTTGGCCATCCTGGCCTCCAAGGAGCACTCTGGCTGCACTTATTCCAACATAGATCTGTTGGTTCTTTTGGCAGTCCATGGTACTTCCAATATTCTCCAACACCATAACTCAAAAGCATCAATTCTTCTACAATCTTCCTTATTCACTGTCCAGCTTTCGCATGCATATGAGGTTATTGAAAATACCATGGCTTGGGTCAGGCGCACCTTAGTCCTCAAGCTGACATTTTTGTTCTTCAACACTTTAAAAAGATCTTGTGCAGAAGATTTGCCTAATGCAATACATTGTTTGATTTTTTGGTTGCTGCTTTATGAGTGTTGATAATTGATCCAAGAAGAATGAGGTTCTTGACAACATCAATCTTTTCTCTATTGATAAGAATGTTGTTTATTGGTCCAGTGGTGAAGATTTTTGTTTTCTTTACACTGAGATGCAATCCATACCAAAAGCTGTTGCTCTTTGATCTTCATCAGTATTTTAAGTCCTGTTCACTTTCAGCAATCAATCGGACATCATTGCTGATGTCCAATGGATCTTGGCGCAAAGTAGAGAATACCAAAAAGATGTTTACCTGTGCTTTATTGACTACGCAAAGGCTTTTGATTGTGTGGATCATGACAAGCTATGGACAACATTGCGAAGTATGAGTGTTCTGGAAAACTTAATTGTACTCATGAGGAATCTGTACCTGGACCAAGAGGCAGTTGTTCGAACAGAACATGGGAACACTGGATGGTTTAAAATTAAGAAAGTTGTATGACCGGGTTGTATTCTTTCACCATACTTATTCAACCTGTATGCTGAGCAAATAATCTGAAAAGCTGGGTTATATAAAGAAAAATGTGGCATCAGGATTAGAGGAAGACTCATTAACAACCTGTGATATGCAGCTGATACAACCTTGCTTGCTGAAAGTGAAGAGCTTAAAGATACATCTCTCAATACTAGTATGCTAGAACAATCAGAAAAAAGAATGAAAAAATTTGAAGAGAGCCTGAGAGTTATGTGAGGCACCATAAAGAGGAATTCAATCTAGATATAGAAGTATTAAAAGTAAAACTAATTTACAAGACTGAAAATAGGGAACCATAGATATGAATTTATAATGAAGTCAACTACAAAAGAGGGAATAGTGTAGATACAGAACTTCCAAAAGGCAGGGAAGTCAAGTAGACTTCAAGGCACAACAGACTATTTTAAATAAGGAAGAATATTGATAAATCAATTACAGGGTAACCTCAAAGAAAATGAATACACCTTCACATCAAAATAAAAGAAGAGGAAAATCAGTGATGGTTGCACATGAGGTACTTTGACCAGGAATCAAACCCAGGTCTCCTTTATAGAAGGAGAGAATCCTACCTCCGATGCCACCATAGTCTGAAGAGAGACCAATTACCAAGGTGTAGGCTAAGTGTAGGAATAATGCAGAACATGGGGTTGGCAGCAGCATACATGGTTACACCCCTGGCCCAAGGGGATAAAGAGAAAGAGAGGATACTGGCACACCAAAGAACAACTATTTGAACAGGAGTAGTGCCTTTTTTCCTTAAGGACACAGTCAACCTGAGGTGACCCCATACAAGACAGAACAAGACAAGTAAATACTTTGCCTTTCTTTGCTCCCCTTGCCCAAATCATAGCTTTCAATTGAGTGGATCCAAGCAAGGTGTTCCTTCTCCACTTCCTCCTCTTCTCTCTCTCTCTTTCTTTCTTTTTTTTTTTTTTTAAATTGCATTGGCAAATCTGTTACAAGACCTTTTTTACAAAAAAAAGTTTTTATTGTGAATTGAATGAAAGTTTACAAGGCAAATCACCAATATTACATTCAACATATCATGTACTTTATTTCATTACAATGATTATAATTCCCTCCACGTACCATCAGTTAACAGTATTTCTCTCTATTAATTTTAGCTCTTTTTTTTTTTTTTTTAACACTCTGTCATATATAATAATTTAAACCACCAAAGGGCACATTCTACAAGCCTGCCTCCTGGCCTCCAGTTCTCCGTCCGTCTCTTTGCATGAATCCAGAGTCCTCAGCTACTCCCTCTCTCCATGTCCCCATCTCTGCTTTTGTCTCAGGCATCGCTGTTTCTCTGGATAAGGTCCCACATTCCGCTTGTGGTCTTCTCCCTTGATGGTCCTGGGGTCCTCTGTTTCTGGACTATAAGATTAACCATTTCCCCTTTTTGCTACAAAATTTCTACCTTTACAATTGTGACAGTCTCAGTCATGATAACAATTACTCACTATTGAATCATAAGAATCTTATCCCCATCTGTTTTCACCAGACCCATCAATACAAGATAAAAACTATTCAGTGGGGTCTCTATCTTCCCCCAGCACTAAACTAAACTAAACTCCCTCTTGAAACCTTGTAAGCCAGTCAGTTTGTGCCTTTATCGCCCCCACATTTTAGGTAGCCAATGTCTAAGTTGCTTGTCCCTATCTACCCTGTGTGTAGAAGGGATAGCATTGATACTTGACTAGTGATATTTTAGGGAAGACTACTTCCCTCTCTGTTGGTATTTTGATGTACTACATCTATGAGTATAGGTCAAGTTTATCAAATTGTAGCAATTTATCTTCATTTCCTTTATCAAAATCTATTTATTTATTTTTTGTAATCTTCCTCTAGTTGAGTTCTGATTATCAAGCCATCGATGTTAGGTCAAATGGGTACTATATTCCTTCTCCTCTCTTGCTGAAAATTTTTTTTAACTTTTTGTTGTAAATTGAGTGAAGGTTTACAGAACAGACCATCAGTTTTACAATTCAATGACTCATATACTTCATTTCATTTCAGTAGACTGCAATCCCCTCCATGTAACATCAGTTATCCCACTTTCTCCTGGAGACTCGTGTTTTGATTCCACTCTCTTTCCCAAACCTTTGAACTTTTTCCTTAGGTAAACGCTGCTCTTTTGATCTTGAATCATTGACCATTCCAAGTAAGCATATGTTTCTAGTATTATACTATATTGTTTTCCCCATCATCCAAGTTAGCACTTGTCTCCTTGAAATGTTTTAAAACATTTTTTCCAATTATAAAAGTCATGCATGTTCATTGTTGAAGACCTAAAAAAACAGAAAGGCAGAAAATCAAAAGCAGCTACAATATCACTAGTCAAAGGTAACAATGGTTAATGCTGTGGTGCATATCCTTTAGTTTCTTCTCTCTTCTTCTCTGATTTTCAAATTATAGATATAAAACTCTGTGAGCTGTCTTTTTCAAACAACAGTCCTATTAATATGTGCTAAAATGCTTACTGTTATTCTAACATGTCACTTCTGTGACTGCTTATTAATTGCAAAGACAAAAATACACCTTTACAATTGAGACAATCTTGCAGTAACCACCCTCATGAAGAGATCAGAATTAGGATCATCAGTAATGACACAATTAGACACTTATATGCCTGTAAAAATGGCAGTGTGGGGCATCTGACTTCATCTAACTTTTCAAGTGTGGAGTAGAAACAAGAGCAACAGCCCAAGGCTGGTTCCTATGAAATTAAGTTCATACATACCTCCTCTCTCCCACCTTCTTACCAATCTTGACATCAGTCATAATTCCCACAGAATTCTCTACTCCTAGCTCACTTTAATAATTCCTTTTAATGGTCACACAGAACTCAGAGAACACGCTCATGTCATTTATTAGGGAAGTAACAAGTTACCATTCAGGATCAGGATCAACAGGCTCTAACTCGGGGTCAGAGTCAGGATCAGGAAGCATGTAAGCAAAGGCTCCCTTCTTCAGTGCAGGGGAGCTCTCTCTAAGTCATTGAGGGCTCCTCTTGGCTCCTGAGGACAGGTCTCTTTAAACCCTCAACCTCTGCTCCTGCCTAATCTCTATCCTGCTTTGTCAAGTGTTACAAAGCTCTTTTTTAAAAACAAAACTTACTTTCCACAAATCATATACTTCATTTCATTATAGTGACTGCAATCCCCTCTGTGTACCATCAGTTAACAGTATTTACTTCTATTCATTTTAACTCTCATACTCTTCCCTGTGTCTTCCACTGCCTTCACCTTTCCTCTGCCAACCTCCCTCTTGTTGTATATTGTCTTCCTCATCACCCAAGTTAGAGTGTTTACAAAGCACTCCATCTCACTGTGTAAGTGCCCAGAGGTACTCCACCTCTCCAGGAAACCTCTCATCCAAAGGCTCTCAGGTCTGTCAGTCAGTAGGTCTTCAAGTCTAGCTCCCTCAACAAGCACTTCACTCTACCAGCAAATCTGCTACCTGAAGGGTCTCAGATCTCACTCCGTGGGGTGAAATTTTCTTGCCTGTGTGCTGTTTCTGTGCTGTTGCTGCTCACCATCTCACACCATCTCCAGTGTTACAACTTGCTCTCTCTCTCTGACTCCTGGTTCTAGGAGATTCTAAGCAGAAACTGTAGGTCCAAAAAACCTGCTCTACTCCCAGCTTTTGTTTCTTGGTGGTGGTAATGTTACAGCAGCTCTGGGCCTGAGTGTCACAGCAGCTCTGGGCCTGAGAGTGTTACAGCAACTCCAGATCCATCGTCGAAGAAACCAAGGCCACTCTGAGAGGTGAAGCAAAGTTTCAGGTTTATTAACCTGGCTGGCTCAGAGGAGCTAACTTCTCCAGATTCTGAGCCCCCAAATGCAGGTCAGCACAGGCTTATAAGGGATCAGAGTTGGGGAGGGGCTACGTTGCGAACCTGTTCAGGAGGGAAACCAGAAGATTGGTCTCGCTCAGTAACCTGATTAACATTCTAGCTTGTCTCCTGAGTGGAGAGGAAGCAGTTAATGTTTTACCTTTCCTGTTCATTAAGGTCTCACTTTTGCTTCTGGGATTGGCTTCCTTTTAACCTAGTCGGATTGCAAAATTGACCAATCCCTTCACGGGTTCCATAACCGTATATGCATTACTAACAGATTGTCCAATTCTCAGGGTATGACATGAGCACCTTATTTACATAGTTGTGCCCAATCATTTCATAGCAGTTACAAGACCATGCATGGGTAGAAAGGCCATATTAAGTAATTCATTGCACCATAATGCCTCCTGATTTGTGGAATATGAATACAATATAATCTATATATTATTCCTGTCAAATAATTTAACTGGAATCCAAGCATCATGGGCAAACAATCAGACAAGTCCTAAATGTTGGACTTATTCTACAAGAGGATTAGCCTAAACTCTTCACAAAAGTCAAGGTTATGAAAGACAAGATAGATTAGGGACTATCATAAAGTAAAAAAGACAAAGGAGACTTAACAAAATGCAATGTATGAAACCTGATTAGATCCTGTGTTATAAGCTCACAGTTTATACAAGTTAGATCATGAAATAAAATAAAGCTAACAATGGTGGGGGGGCGGGGGAATAGCCCTTCCTCTATTTCCAGAATCTAGCTGGAATGAAGCCCATGACCTGAATGACTGTATTCTTATTTAAAGTTCCTAGTCCTAGAACAGATTTCTCTCCTCTCTTCTCCCAGTTCATCCTGCTTACATATCCCTGGGTGTGAATCATCAACTTTATTCCTGAAGATGGACCATCTTGAGAATTTTTCACATTTACATTGAGTACAATCCATACTGTAGGCTTTGATTTTCACCAGTAAGTATTTTAAGTCCTCTTCACATCCAGCAAGCTAAGTTATATCACCTGCATATCGCAGGTTGTTAATGAATCTTTCTCCAATCCTGATGCCACCTTCTTCCTCATATAATCCACTTTTCTGATTATTTGCTCAGTGTACAGATTAAATAAATATGGTTCAAGAATACAACCCGGGGCCACACCTTTCTTGATTTTAAGCCATTCAGTATCTTCTTGTTCTGTTTGAATGACTGCCTCTTGGTCTATGTACAGGTTCCTCATGAGCACAATTAAGTATTCTGGAATACCCATTATTTGCATTGTTATCCATAGTCAAAAGCCCTTGTACAGTCAATAAATCACAAGTAAACAGCTTTCTGTTATTCTCTGCTTTCAACCAGGATCCATCAGATGTCAGCAATGAAATCCCTTGTTCCACATCCTCTTCTGACTCTGTCTCGAATTTCTGGCAGTTCTCTACAAAAAAACCTGTTGCCGACATTTAAAAAAATATATTCTGCAAAATTTTACTGGCATATGATATCAATGATATTATTTGTTGATTTCTACATTCCATTGGGTCCCCTGTCTTTGGAATGGGCACAAATCGAGATCTCTTTCAATTGGTTGGCCAGGTAGCTGTCTTCCAAATTTAATCACATCCGAATTATGTAAGGAATTGTGTTTATTCTTAGGAGATATATGCTAAAGTATTTCAAAATATTTAAGAGTAACCTAATTTCAAATGATTCAGCAAAAAATAAAGAGAAAACTATGGTGGAAAATAGCCACT